GCGACTTATACCGGTAGGTACAAGCGTTTTTATTGACCGTCATCCAACGCACGATGGAGCTATACAATCATTTGCGTTTGTTGTAGACTTAGAACAAAATATGTAATAATATAGGGGTAGTAGAAGTAGTAGTTGAAAAACATAATTGATCTAATAAAACGTTTTTATATTATTACTTTGTATAAATATTTTCTTGATATGACAAGCAATATATTGTGTGTCTGTTCTACTAATGAAACCATCTACTCACATGCAGGTATATCTCCAGTTATCTTCACCTGCACTCCCGTACTTTATTGGACTTGTTTTGTAAATTCACTTAAATAATTTTATACATCATCAAGAATTTTTATGTTATAATTCTTTTGTTTTTCTATTATTACGGCATCAGTAGAGATGGTGTGGGTGGATGTGGATGAGAATGTGAGTGAGAGTGAAAAGGATAGTACCCACACTCTCCGTACTGAAGAGATTATCAATTAATCAACATTAACTTTTTTTTTGATCACAGTGTTTTCAATTACAAATTCATAGTATTTATTTAGAATAGATTTCCTTTGAATATAATGCTATTAATTATACTAAACAGATATGTGTGGTTGATTTAAATTCAAAAACATAGAACAAATTAAAACTATTCATAGAAATTACTATTATTCAGTTAACATATATATTAGTAATGAGAACAGAATAAGTTCATCTATTTCGCAATCATTTGAATGTGAACTGCTTTTTCTTCATCATTATCATTAAGAAGACGAGTAATGATAGTATGACCAACATCCCATGTACTAATATTAGATGAAACAAGATCACAAGGTAATCTCTCGCTATCCTCATCACAAGCGTAGATTTTAACACTTTTTCTATTATCCAATTTAAAGTTACTTGGCATGGCGAATGAAATCTCTGGAGCATTGTTGACACTTCGTAGAAGACGCCAACCAGTTAAATCTACGTCTTGAATTGCAGAAGTATTTGCTAGTTGGCTATATTTACCATCAGGTAAACATTCATCAATACAGACGGGTCCTAAGAAAAAGAAAAATATTGCAGAAGAGCAGTATCGAATGAACCTTTTGCAGATCGCTGAACAGTTGGTTTTCGTACTATCTCATTTATGTCGATTTTGCCTAATTTAAATATAAAAAAGAATAAAAGAATAGTTCTTTTCAGTGACAAACCTAAATCTTCAGATTCAAGTAGATTCATATTGGTAGAATCATTAATTTCCATTCATATCTTATAGTATTATTGATTTCAATATCTAAAATATTTTGACGGTGTGGATTTGGGTGTACTACTACAGACACCGATACACGCACACACCCACACCCTCAAGATTTTATTGATCTATAGAGAAAAAATCTTAAGTTATGAACATAAGAAAGAGAATAGAATCAAAGATGATTATCTATTTTATGCATGTTTTTAAAAGATGTTGATTTGAAATGTGAATATAAATAAATGATGAATAGAATTTATGATCTTGTTCATTTGCAATAAGAATATTGCTAAAACTATCTAATTCTTTATCTGATTCTGTTATTATACAATGTATCAAATTTTGTTCATAGAAATTATGACACTTGAAGATGTGAATGTGAATCTTATTGTTTTACCTTCTCCTTGATCAATAGATATTCATAGTAGAGATAGCATTTTTATTTACATATATTTCGATTAAACTTATGATAAAATAAAAGAATATAATTTTGTATGTGCCAAATGTATATGAAATCGAATACTATTTGAATAATTGTCGAATTCCATTTTGATGTAATGTTTTACATTCATCAAATGTATATCCTTCAATTGAATTTTTTGTGAAACTATCTTCAAATTGAATAGCAAAAAAACCTGCTGTTGATGTATCAGTACTGATATACATTTGTAATTGTTGATTTCTATTCTTATTGTTAGGTAATGAGAAAACGTTGGAAATAAACCAACCATAACCTGTCGGATTTGTTTAAAATGTTGAAAGAGAAACATAAATTGACTTAAACATGCCCCACCACCAGCATGTGTTGTTTGTAAACCCCAATCAATATGATACATCGATAGTGAAAGTGTACCAACATCAGATCGAATAAAATCAGGATCCATCAAACCATTTGATGATGAAAAAACAAATTCAGCATCACGATCACTTTCAGTACCATTAACTAATTCCATGTGAAATAAATGGATCTCTTGTTAGAAAAATAAAAGGACCATATGCACTTTCCGTAGATAAAGTAACAACAACTTTTCAAGAAACAGGAAAAGCACCAGGACAATAAACATTTGTATTTGATACAGCAGAATTTAATCGACCATATAAAATATATTAACCACCATTATTTGGAGAATATAATATAACTGTTTGTGTATCAGATAAACCACTGTTGAATACCTTTTGTCTAAATAAATCCATCAGGTGATGTACCAATATATACATAAGGTTTAGACGTCTGAACGTGGATCAATAAAAACAGAACCGAAAAATTCATTGACATCAGTCATAAATACAATATTAGTAAGATGGAGTGGTTCGCTTCCATTTCCTCTATAAGAATAATATGATAATAACAGTTTTTTCCAATGAATTCCATCAGTACTATTAGAAATAATCAGCTGAAACTTGTAAAAAACTTGTATAGAAATGAATTGCATTTTCCCATGGATATTCATGATAGATCAATGGATGATCAAGATGAATTTTTAATGTATTGATTATCAACCAATAAATGTACTCCAATATTTAATCAAAAAATTTCAGATGATTTTATAAAATTAATTTGAATTAGTAAATAAATCAAATATTGTTCAAATGTAAGATGCATGCAACACAAAATTACAATAGAAAAAAAGTTTTTGCCGCGGAAGATATTATAGAATATATGATGTTTCGATTTACTATTAAACTATTTCGTTCTATAATCGTAAATATATCTTAATGAATGTTCTTCTAATAAAAAGATTATGTCCGTTATAGGCGACATCTGTAAAGTTGTATTGAATTTAATGGCAGATCATAGAAAAATGTTTCATTTGAAATCATTCTGCTTGACGTTTTATTCGAATTTGATTCATCGATATTATAAGAAAGATGACCACACAGTCATTTATCTATCAATCTTTATGATTCAATTGATTTCATTTTGATTTCCTCTAGATAACAGACATCATAGTTGTTCTTCTCCTATCGGTCATTTTTATATTGTCAGAATATAAATACGTCCGCCGTTTCTATAAAAGGTCAGATGAACAAAAATGGAAAGAATAATAAATCATTCAAAAAATTTTCGTTCGTTAATGTTCAAATAAATTTCATTTTTAGATAAAGATAATTATGACAACACAATTCGAATCATTATCAAATGAAATTTTATTCAATATATTCGAACATATTTCACTATTGGATTTATTTCGTATTTTTTATAATATCAATATTCGTTTTAATAATTTAATTCTTGATCGTTATCAAAACTATTCATTAGATTTTCGTTCTTTGAGAAAAAAAGATTTACATACAATTTGTCATGATTATCTTCCATTAATTATCAATCAAATAATTTATCTTCGTTTGTCAGATGATCATGATACACCAAAACAATCAATTGATTTTCTTTCTTATAATATTAAACTTCATCAATTCAAAACATTACGATCTCTCACATTTTTTCATATTAATTTTGATTTAAAAATGGAAGAATTTCTTTTTCACGATATTCATCAGTTATCTTGTTTAACACATCTCAAATTTGTTGATTGTCGAATCGAATCTAATTACAATAGACATGATAC